AGGAAAAAGATAAGTGGAGCTCTGAAGCACTGAGGCTTCAGCAACATGATTGCTATTAGAAGCAAGGGGGCCTTCATCAAAGCAAAGAACCCTTCAAAGCTTTGCAGATCCTTAAATAATGTAAGGAAGAAGATTTCAGCTAAACATTAGGAGAAATGTTTAGCCCTCAAAGCCTTTTAAAGATTTTGAGAGACCGATTCCAAGGACAGAATGTTCATTTCAGCATTCTCACACATAATATCTTTCTAATAAATCCATAAACTTTTTTTCTATTGAAATCAACAGCCAAGTAATTAGGAATGTGTGGAAAAACCTGAAATTACACTTGACATTATATTTTGATTTGCATCACTACCTTGAATGAAAAGATTAAGCCATCTGAAAATTTCATACTGTGAATTTTATTGGAGTTGGGGGACCCTCCATGTATGGAGTCCAGGGCAATTATCACCATTGCTCCATCTTCAAAAGATTCTGGGAGAAACTTTCTAGAAGAGCTGTTTGATAATGAACATACTGCAAGATGGTGGGTTCTTTTTTATTGTATTAACTTACGTAGACAGTAAACAACATCTGTGCAATTTACTGTCTATACATCAGTTAGATGCTGTTCTTGCAACTAGATCCTAGTTGGATAGGAGATTGGGTTATATGACCAAAGTCTCTAATTTTATAACCGTGTTCACACAGCATATTCACACAATACTGGATTTGGCTACTGAACTAAATGATTTCTGGATTTGCAGAGTTCATAAAATAATAAGCTGACTAAATGGGTTGGGTTCACACAACACTCTTAAGCCAAAATTCCAGCCAATGTTAAAGCTATCCAAGCTTAGTACATTGTGCTAATGCAGCCACTCAAGTCTGTAACTGAACTAATTAGATGTGTCCTGTGAACACAGTCCATAATTATAAATATTTACCCTTATGAAAACCTTGTGAGTTAGATTAGACAGATTGTCCCTTCAAATGAGCTTCCAGACTACTGAAAACCTGAAACTGGGTCTCCCTCCCTCATTCAAATTATATTTTACCCACAATACTACTCTATGAAATAAGTGTTTGTATCTGTTATTGAGAAATAAAAGCAAAAGTTTTTGCTCAGAGAAAATGTTTACTTTTACATCTTTCCATGTATTTGCTTTGGGAGTCATCATTGTTTGGGAAGATTTATAACAGAAAATATGTTTCCATGATGACCATTGTACCTCAGGCTTCTTGCTGGTAAAGAGGAAAAGAATGGCCTTTAAAAAGACAACCTTCCATCAAAGGTCAGAGAAAGGATGAAAGGAGAATAGTTTACAGTCATATCACAGCTGTACCAGGTTGGATAGCAGATAGCTTTATATAATGGAAAGAATGCATGGAGAGAAACACTGACGATAGGAGTGTAACTTCTACAGAAAAGTATTCTTGAGGTTAGCGTTTGCATGAAAGAAAAATAGAGGCAAGTTTTATCCAGGACATCAGTGTACTGTCTTCCTTTATTGGGACAGAATAAGTCAGATTAGTATCTGAACTGCACAAGTCAAGGAAGGAAGGAAGGAAGGAAGGAAGGAAGGAAGGAAGGAAGGAAGGAAGGAAGGAAGGAAGGAAGGAAGGAAGGATCATCCTTATTACCTGGTTCCACTATCACCAGAACAGCTAAGCAACCATTTCTGGAGGGTAGAAACAGACAATGTTTCCCTTTATTAATCACCACTGGAACAACTTTAGAACACATTTTTCTGCTCTACCTCTGAAGCATACTTATTGATGTTATTTGCCTCAAGGTTCCTATCTATTACAAATAGCACACCTCATTTTATTGAAGGCCAGTCTTATCAGTTCATTGGCTGCTTTGTGGAGGAAGCAACTTCTTTTCAGTTGAATCAATGCCTTTTATTAAGAGTGCTGCACTAGTGTAATGGCTGTAATTCTTGCCTTGCAAATAGAAGGTTCCTGGTCTGAAACCTGGTAGATTTTTGTTGTTGTTGTTAATTACCATTTTCCTTTCCCAAACTTCCTACTTTTCCATGTGCTCTTTTTTAAAAAAAAGAAATACAGTACTGCATCATTTTACCAGTCATCTGAAGTAGAAGTCTAATTTTAGTTCCCAGGTAGCCTTTGTATCTAACATACAAAACCACTTGAAATTACATGTATAAACTTTAGCATGATCAACCTCCTGTTCTTATCCCACTTGACTTGTGTAGCAGCTTGTATGACATCTCGGGCTCTGCATGTTGGGCTAGTCTGTTTGAATCACAAAACAATCATCTTTGTAATCTGATCTTATTGGTATTTTAAAAAAAAGACTTTAACAAATAATCTCAAACTATTTCTGACATTCGTTGGAGATAAGTACTGTGGCATTCAGTATTAACAATATGTCAATTGCTTCCTTATAAAGCATGTTATTCATAACACATGCCACACAAAATCATTAGTTAATGCTTCATTTGGGAAGTAAATGTTGTGAGTGCTATCATTTCTTAAAATTATTTTCATTCTCCAACCTGGATTTTCTGGGTAGACTTTGACCTTCAATTCATTGTTAAGAAATGGGAAGTATCATGTTCAATAGGTTTAGTCATACATTCCACCTATTTAAACTGGTGTAATGTAGTGATATATTTCAAGCTCTATTTAACTTTCGGTATTATGAATAATAGCATTGTTTTTAAAAAAGAAACCTTCTTAATTGCTTTTCATTGGCATCTTCCATGGCCATTCCAAAGCTCTTTAGATTTTCCTGAATGCATTTTGTTATAGCTTCAGGAGGTTTTAAATTAACACAGACTCGTGCAAAAAAAAAAAAAAATGAGCAGGCCCCTGCCCATCAACCTAGTGTGACAAAACCCTAGGTTTTGGTATGGCACAGCAGTGCCTCCTAAAGCATCTAATAAACTGACCACAAATTAACTGGCCTGAATAAATCCTTCCACACCATTAGTCTCCCCAATGTGATCCCATTTCTATAATGGCACAAATGGTGAAAACTTAATGTAAATTTCTAAAATTGCACAAATGCAATTTTATAATTGCATTAAGGATTATTAGGAAGGTAGGTGTATAGCCACTAGATTTGCAGCTAGATCCAAAACTTTAGAAATGGAGCATTTTCCTTGAATAGACAAAGCAACAGTTAATCTCTATAAGGAGGCTGGTTGTCATTCTAAAAATCTGAGATTAGTGCTTAAGCAGTAGGAAGAAAAAAGAAAAAGGAAGAAGGAGGGCCTGCCTAACAATTTCCAAACCAGTGGCAAAGATCTCTCTTCAACCCTCCTCTTTGCAATATTTCAGAACCTGTGCTGGACTCCAACAGCTTATTCTAACATGTAATGTGGAAGGCTGTTTGTGCTGAGTTTATTTGCAGTTCTGTGTTTGTTGCCTTCTGTATCTTTTTCTGAATAAACTATCTAAAGAATTGTCTTCATTGGTTTAATAAGTAAATTTATTGTTCAAACCTTTTTATTGTATAAGGCTTTATGATGGCACAGCTATCCTTTGTGTTTTGGGATAGGCACCAGATTTCTGTGTTTCTGGGCCTGGGGCAGGAAGACCCCAAGTGTCTTCCTTTCTATTTTTGGGCTGAGTTGGAAGAGGAAGAAGTCCTTTTAAAAAGGTTAAGAATCTTCCAGCCAGTCAGACTAGGATGCGTCAAAAGATTCGGCCTAACTTGTGACAGCCTATGGTAATTATCTTCTACTGGGGAATTCATTCATATTTACTGAGGGGAAAGATGGCTGAGTGAGGTCATATTATGCACTGTACATCTTTTGTATATAACTTCGTGACTTACATGGTATGTGCTATTTGCATGATGGTATCATGGTGCATGTGATGTCCTTGTGGCAAGTCCAGCCCCTCATGGATTAAGTGAATTCAGTTGATGATTTGAGATGATAATTCCAGCTCCTGAATAACTACAGATATCAGTATAGACAATTGTGTAATCATTGCCCTATTGAAATGTAGGATGCATTTAGGTCTTCATGAGGGAATGTAATGGGCACATTCTTGGCATGTTGAACATTTTCTTGTCTCACCTGGAGATTTGAAACAATACCGAATGCCAGCCTGTCATTAAAAGTCTGCACTAAAGCTGCAATATTGAACATACTTTCAAGCCAATAGTAAGTAAAACAATAAAAGATTGTGCTCCATAGTTTGTTGTTATACAGAGATATCTAAAGTATGGCCAAGACTAAGCACATAGAGGAGCTAATTTATAGCTAAATATTGGGATATTCCTTGGATCTATTCTTAGCTATTCTAAGCTTTTTAAAATCCCATTGGTTTCCTTGGGAAAAAATTTAACTACATCAAAACCAATAAGGATAAATACTATTTAATTCTGGCTTCATAGTGCCCTCTGCCTAGACAAAGTACAATTAACTTGTCTCAATTTCTGGCTAATTTAGAGTCTGCCTCAAGCCTTTTCCTTTGATATTTGTTAAAGTATGTTATTGCCTTTTAAAAGGAAACCAAAAGAAAAAAAAAAGTAAGGAGAAAAACACCATGAGGCAGTTGTGCTTACGTTTTGCATTGGGGTAGCCATCTGTGTCCAGACCCAAACAGATTAGAATGTAAGAATAACTAGAGCACATTTGATTATTTTCACAGAATAGAAGACCAACTTGCACATATCTCCAGTTTGGAGTGTAAGTGTCTCTTGGTAGTCACGGCATTTGCGAAAGAGCCTTAAACTGGCTTGCTGCTGTGTAACCTGGCCAGCGCAATCTTTTCTTGAAATGCCCCGGCTGCAGAGGTCTGCAACTCAGGTGTGACTTGCTTTCCAGAGTCAGGTATCCATTGCTTAAGGCTGATGCTTCCTGTGTGGGAACGCTGTGGAGATAGAAAGCTAGCTAGCTCTGCTGGCAGGTGAGTGTAATCTGGCTCCACAGACGCCTGCCCCCCCCCCACAGGCTTTGGAAGGGGAGGAGCTGAATCCCTGAGCTCAGGTGTAATTCTTCGGCATTGATGCTCCTCCTCCCCTCCCCTCCCCTCCCCTCCCCGGCTGCAGGCTTTTCCTCAGCCCTTCAGATTAGAGGAAGTTGCTCAGATTCCTTTGCTTTCAGCCGAGGCCTGGGCTGCTTGGCAGGAATGGAGCCAGCTTGGGAAGAAGTATGACAAAAAGAGGGAAAATATGGACATGGTAACTGCTCTTGCCAGAGGTTGGGTTTGTGGGGCTGGGGAGAGAAGTACATGTCTTCTGTTTACCATTTAATGGCTTCTCGATGCAGGGGGGCTGGCTTGCAGCTTTTTATGGATCGCTGCCGCACGCAGTAAGAAAGTGGGGTTGACTTGGGGGGAGTGGAGTGGACTGAACAGGGAGGCCGGAAAATGCTTTGGGGATTAGTTACACTTTTGATTAGTTTCTAGAGCAAGGCATGATCTTCCTGCCTCTGCAGGGCTCTGGTTTTTCTTTTTCTCTGCCAAGAGTAAAGCACAGCATCTGGACCGGTGCCACAGTTGTGCTCCAGAAATACTGAAGCAGTTGATGATTAGCTTAAACCCTTACTTACTTTCTGTGCTGGGGTTTAGTGCTCCATTTCTGAAGTGAACTTTATACATCTGCATGCATGGCTTCTCTACAAACATTCCTAGCACTTCAGAAGGGGGAAATTCTTCCTTCTGGGTGGCTTCTCTTTACAATCGATTTGTACCTGTAATCTTTTATATAGGGCTACCACAGGCTGCAAAAATCTGGCTAAAACTGGAATGAAGCAAAGAGTTCAAGTTGTCTGTCTCTTTTTACTGCCACCTTTTTTTACTGTTATTTGGATTTTGCAGCTCAGATGCTGTAGCCCTAGTTTCATTATAATTCTGCTGAACAGGCAGTGGACTAGACTGTGCCATTTTTTACTTTGGGAGCTAAAAAAGTACATAAAGTAAAATCCGCTGAAGAATGGCAGTTGCTTCTGAGTAAATACAGACCAAATTGTACTAGTAATTTAAGAGCCCTGAGATAGTTGGCCTCTACACTTGAAATCTTTCAGTTTACTTTTCTTTCACTTGTGAAACTACCCAAGTAATCACTCCTTTTCTCATCCTGTTTCTTCTTTTCTGACATTTTGAGAACTTGTGGGTGGATTGGTGGGGAAAACCTGTATGAATAGATACTTCCGGGCTGCAGCATGTGTCAGAGTGTGCTTGTAGTCCCTGAAGCATGTGGCAACATGTGCCTCCTAAGGTCAGAGTATTTACTACCTTGATGAAACAAATGATTCTTCCAACATGTTCCTCTTCAGATTTACAAAATTGATAATAGATTTTTAAAAGTGCAGCTATAATGAATCTCCCCTTATAAAGCTTTGGGGAGTATTGCACTGTTCTTGTACCCAAGATCTTACCCCCACCCAAAATCTCTTAAAAAACTCCTTGGACAAAAAGATCTGATTTTCTGCACTCATTGTTGCGTCTAAGGATAGTTTCCATCCATCCTGCCCTGATCATTCACTTTATAGGATTATTGTGAGCTTAATTAGAACTTGGAGAGAAAAATCATTTGGGTTGCTTTAAGACAGGAGATACAATAAAAAATGTAATTGTATGTTATGGCGCAAACAGCCCTAACTTTGATCATGTTGTCATTGTAGAACATAAGTGACATATGTATCTCTCGTTTTTTAATAAAATATATTTGTACCAACCAATAGTACAATTACAAATCATAGAGTTGTATTGACCCATAATGTGATTTATCTGATCTTGTTCTAGTGATGTAAGAGAACACAACCATTGTGGCTTGTGAATCATGGTTTATGATTTTATGTTAATCATAAACCTTATCAGTCATCTATGGGACTGAGGTATCAGGAAAAATTCTAGGATTATAGTTTATGTTTGGGGCTTTCTACAGCAATTCCTGGTTTATTAGGTGAAATATTACATTACCACTGAACTTGGGGGAATTTATTTCAGAGGTGTTTGCATATGGAAAGGATTTCTAGTTAGCAAAACAGATTCCCTATCTATTTCTACTCCACTGTGAGTTGCTATACCTTGGTTAGAAAGATGATGTGGTAACGGATTGTTTGTGTTAGGCCTCTCAAGTTTGATTTTGGGGTAGGAAAGAAGGGAACTTTTCCTCCTGAATCTTGCATTAGGATATCCTGCCTCTACAATTATGGTTTAACAAGATACCATAACAATAAATCAGATTTGTGAAAGAAAGGATTAGAATGGATCAGAAGGAAAAAGAAGAATTTGTAAACTTTCCCAGTTCTGATGAAGCAGAGTGAGTGATCTGCTGTGGATGCATCATGCCACTGCAGAATCCCTGGTTTTGTTAGAGCTACATTAAAATTCCAGCATGCTGTGACTGTGCTTCATGGGGAAATAGTTCCACCTGTAGTGCTCTTTAGAAACAGAGTCATCTCTTCTGGATCCAGCTCTGTTGTTTCAGCTGTGTTTTAACTCATAATACCATAATTCTCCTCAGAAATACAATCCCTCTGGGATGCCTTGCTGCAGTGTTGTGGCCTGGCAAAGGCTTCTGTTTTCACTGGGCCATCTCTGCGTATCATCTAAGAGAATTCTGAAATAAAGGAGCACCTGGTTTTCAATAAAGAACCATAAACAGTGGTGTGTGTTTGGGCTCTTTTTTTTTTAAAGCGTGCAGATATTGTGCCCATGCTGCAGACACAATGCTGTTTATTTAATCTTTGCTGCTATTGGTTATAGCCATAACTCTGCATGGTGTTTTAGATGAAGATCAGTGGGTTTCATTTATCTTTCTTGTATGGCAGTGTTAATTGCAGATAGATTCCAGTTTCAACTAGACTCTCTGGCTTGGTTGGTTGTATTGTGCAGCTGGTTGCTCTAGTACAATCACGACAACTGAAATATCCCCTAGATGCTTTACATCACACTGTTTAATGTGGAAATAATGGAGTTGACTGCGAGGGGTTATTCAGGGGAGACTATTTGGTATTTAATAAGTTAGATGCAATTATACAAAATTCAATAACATCTCAGGACAAAGCTCAATTGTGTTGCTTTCTCATTAAAGGCATCAGCATGTCTCTTTCAGCATAATGGAACTTCTGTCTAGGGTTGTCTGTTTCCCCAGATTTTCTGATTTCTGATGCTATTTTAGGATAACACCAGTTAACATACATGTTCAAGCCATTCAAATTAGTACCACTGTCTTCCTCAATGTGGTGGCCTCCAAATGGGCAAGAGCTATAATTCTCAGAATTCACTGTCAGTTCTGGGAAAGGTAGTCCCAAAATATCTGGAGGAGATTTTTTAAAATAGTAAGGAATAAATGATTACAACAAAGTTCTGGGCCATGATTTGTGGGAGTTGATTTCTGGTGCCAAATGTTATGGATGCAAAATGGGCTGTGGTATTTTAGGTGCTCCTTCGATTCTCCCACCCCCACCACACAACTTTAAATTGCATGTAGCCTATTAATGGCAGAAGCTAGAGAGAAAAACAAGGGCAGTTGTAATTAAGATGGATTTGACTTAGAGTTCTCTACAAGCAGACTATCAGGAACTTTCCAGATAAATTTTG